TACCAATAGAATATTGATTCTCTGTTGTTCCTGTGGCCTGTGACTTCTGACTCCATGGTCTGTAGTGCACAGAAGACTCACAAAGAGGGTGTGTGGTTTCTCTTTGTGCCTGGAAAGTACCTAAAGCATTTGAGGCAGCAGGCTGTCAACTAAGCACGAGTTTGTCTGCTTGGAGGCCTGCACGGCCCATCCTATTTCAGGTTCCTACTCAACCTATCTTTTGTTTGTTTTATCTACTCACAGAGACCAACCCAACTATTTCATGGCACCACCCTTCCAAGTTGGCTGACCCGTGTGTATTTTTTACTTACGTGTGTGTATATAAGTATGTATTAGTTTTGAGTAAGCTAATGCAATTGTGAGAATTTTCAGTTGTTGGGGTTTTTTTTATATATTTTTACTGGCAGAGTTTGAAACCATTTGAAATGCAGCCATGTTGGCTTGTGCTCTGTGAGAGCAGGGGGAGGAACCAGTGTATGCCAAATGGAAAAGGATAAAACTGTTGTAATGATATGTTGCAATCATGCTGCAAAACCTACCACAGTAAATTACTGCTGTAACAACCTCCTTCCTGTTGCAAAGCGCTCCAACTAGGCTTTCTTGTGTCTTCTTGACATTTTGGTTCTTGAGAGAAAGTTGTCTCTGCACTCCACTGCACTGAGTGACTGCTAAGCTTCTTTGAGGACAAGCTGAAAAACAAACATAGAGGCCAGGAGGCACAAGTGCTTGATCTGGGGCTGGATGATGCTGCCCAACATGAGCACCGTCAGTCTGTGGCTAAGCCGTGGTGTTGTGGGCAGGGCTTCATCTGGCATGTCAGTCTTTACTGTGTATGGTCTTTTTCTCCCTTGCCTGCTTACTGGCAGCTGCTGTCAGTGTTTGTAGGTCACATGAAGTTTTCATGGCATCACCTCCACAATCCAGCCACTGGGATATTCTTCCTTGTGCCTGCAGCTGTGGTTTGGCCAGGCTCAGTGGCCCAGAGGGAGTGTTGCTCTCTGATGTGGCCTGTGGGAAATGAGCTGCAGCTCCTGATTCTGTCTGTCCCAGATGCATTTCCTCTGCACAGACATTGTGCTGTGTTTGGCGCACAGTTGTGTTTTGTTAACACTAAATGAAGGAGTAAAAAGGGAGAGAGACAGAAAACTGAATTACTGTCCTGGTTTCAGAGCAATCCTCCAACAGGGAGGGGAGAAGGTGACAACCTCAGTGTGGGAAAGCTTTCAGGCTGCTCTCTAAGTTGTTTATGTTCTGTGGAGAGAGTGGTTTGGGTCTTCTTAATCCAACTGCGTGTTTGAGAAAAAATTCTTCATTGGCTTAGGGGAAGGAGGAAAGAGCCTCCTTCTTTAGGGGAAAGCAATGAGATCCTGGCGGTTTCAGAGGCGTAAGGTGATGGCCCACTGACAGCACTTTCTAGAAAAGCATCATACGAAACTTCATCTGCCTGTTAGCACTAAAACAAGAAAACACTGTGAGGAACTCAGAGCTGCCTTGTACCAGCAATGTACAAACCACCTGATGTGATTTGTGTTGTCAGACCAGTCACAGAGGAGCATCTCTTCCCAGAGGTTTCACCTCCTGTTTGTGAGATAGATGGTGAATATTGAGAATGCTGGGAATTGTATAGAGAATCTGTGAGTCTCCAAAAGCTAAATGGAAAGAAATCTCCCATTTCTCAAGACACTTTGCAGCCTGGCAAATGATGGGGCTCCCAGCACCCTGTGCCTTACCAGGTGCTGCTCTGACTGGCCTTGGATTTTTCACACTGCTGTGCTGTCTCCCTTGGATATGAATGAACTTTTAATTTCTCTTCTGTGGTATATTTGCAATTACATTTTCTGAAATAAAGCCAAACCAAAAAACAACAACCTTGCCCCACCCCAAATCCCATCATTACCTTCCTGTACTTGAAGTTTGCACCAAATCTTCGTGCTCCCAGGTTCCCAACCTCTGCTGCTTCCAGTAGTAATAAAACCTGAAAAGGCTTGTCTTGTCCTCTTTACAGCTACAACAAAATGGATGTCGATTTAGCTGTGCTCTTCCCTTCAGCTAACTGGTAGTGCTCCCTTTCTTTCTTTCCAAGTCCTCCCTGTGAGGAATGAGCACTGCTGATTATGGGGGTAAGGATCAGCTCAGGGGAGCATGTGCTAGCCAGGGAAATTTCTTCTCTTTGATGCCCATTGTTCCCTACTTCTGATCTCTCACGTGCATTTCACATTCTCCAAGCCCAGAATCATCTGAAGTCACAGGCTAGAAGCAGCTTCTCTCCCTGGGCAGTGCAGACCAGATCACCCCTAGGGGATTTTCCCTTGTTAACGTTGCCAGCAAAATATTTTGCATGGCTTGTTGAAGAATCAAACTATTTCCCGGCTGTGGCCAGGAACGTTTGAACATTCTGTTTGAATGGAAGGTGGATATGAAGGAATTCCATCTGTTACATTGAAGTGTGTGGTCAAGAAAAGCCCCAAACAAAAGCTCTGAATAGACAGGATCCATTTGGCCAATTTATTTCCTTTCCTTTTCTCTTGTGATTTTTAGATAGACTTTCTCTCTTAAAATTAAATCTGATCTTTATGGGAATATCTCATTTTCTATAAAGCTATGTTTGTTTTTTTTTCATGAGCAGACCAAGCACCACATATAAACTGCACAGAGCAGATAAGTTGAAATGTGTTTAAAAGTGGATATTTTATATAACAGAAGTGGGTGTATCTCATTCTTTCATGCACTGAATCTTCTCTATGGAAAATCCATAAAACAAAATGGGGAATAAGAGACCATTTCTCTGCTGCTGATGTAAAATGACAGAGGAGGAAGTTTATGAATTGTAATGGGCCAAGAAAAAATACCTCCCTGACTACACTTTCCAAAAAAATACTGAACAAGACAGAAGTCCTGCACAGTGCTGGGAATGGTTTGGGCACTGATGCAGTCCAGTTTTGCCCTCAAGGGAGTTTGGTTGTATTGCTTGTGATACTAAATTCTCTTGGCCATAAGATCCTTTATCATATTAATGTCACAGAGTTGTCATCTCCAATTGTGTTTGGGTAATTACTCAAAGTGGAAAGCAATGGGAATGGAGTGTGGCTCAGGGTTAGACTGGAAAGCGATGGCACTTCTCCAGCATGGGGTTCAGTTTCCTGCTGTGAGGATCAGACATGGGGAAAAGGTGAGTGGCTAGAAGCAAGCAGGAGCCAGGGCTGGGGTCTCATTGTGTGTCTCATTCTGTGCCATGAAGGAAGTATTTTGCTTCCACAATAGTGCCAAAAGTCAGTGTCTGCCCTTCGATGAGGGAATGTGTTGGGAAGCACATGAGAGTGGCCTTTACCACCCTCTATCTTTGTGTTGGTTGGAGAAGTAAGAGAAGTATCTGGGCACTGCTGCCCCCGCAGCACCTTCAGTTGGGATTGCTTTTGCTCTTGCCCCATCCTTCGTTCCTCAAAAACCTCTGAGAATTCCAGCTGGCAGTGAAGGAGGAGAGAAGGGGCAGCAGTGCCTGGCCTACCATCTTGCATTGCTTTAAACCCTGTCACAGTGAGGAGAATCATGGCAATGAATGGCCCATGTAAACATGTAATTCACAGCATCTGAAAGGTGCTTCACCAAAGGGATTTAGTTTATTATTTCTGTGTGTTACTCCAGTAACACTGGCTGTCAGACTCTACACCCAGTGAATGAGAATTTGAGCTCTGGGAAACAGTTTTCTTGCTGTCACAGCTAATGGCTTGTCAAAGTTTCCAAGGTAATTCTGATATTTTGTCAGACCAGTTTCCTGATTATTTTAAAATGCACTGGAGTAAGTCCTGCATCAGCCTAAGAAATACACTTCTTTATACATCCTTTAGAGCATATTTTGCTGGTTTACTTTGTTCTTTAAATTTTTGTTGTTTGGGGTTTTTTAAGAAGGTCTGCAGCCTGCTGTAGGGTTTCTCTCTGTTTTTCTGCTGCTTTTTTTTTTTGCTGTTGGGATGGGCAGAGCTGTGGGTGAATGAGCACTCAGCTGGGTGATGTCCCTGCCAGATGCCACTCCTCCATCAGCTGCAGGAGAAAAAGTGGCTTTTTTACTCTGCTGGACCACTAGATGGGGAAATTGCATTTGCATTTTTGTGTTGCAAAATGGATCCTGGCAGCTGGCCTGAAGCTTTTGATGTAATGAAGCATATCAAGCCTGTTATCTGCAAGAGGTGTGTGGTGATGACTCAAGGCTTTGCCCCTCTCTTCAGCAACACCACTACATCTCCCCTGCAGGGAGTCAGGCCCTGCTGAGCTGTGCTGTGGCCCCAGGTGCTTTTGGGTAGATAATTTGCAAAGCTGACCTTTAAAGATGTCTCCTCCTTTGAAAGATTTCTGGGGATCAGGGCCAGCAGGTGCCTGCCCCACTGCCAAGCCCACTGCTTCACGTGGGAAGCAGGGAGAGGGCATAAATATTTCAACAAATTTCTGAACAGGGAGCTCCTGAGGCCAGGAAACCATCTGGGCATCTAAGAGCTCACATCAGGTCCAAGGCAGGTCCAAGAAACATGAGAAAACTTGGGCTCAGGTTTTTCTCTTGCTTTCAGTACTTTGCAACTGCTAGGCCTCTGACTTTTTCGTGATGAAAAGCATTTCAGAACAGAATGGCAAAAGTGGCACCTGTATGGTGATACTGGGCCTGACAGTCCTGCAGGTTGGAGACAACTGGTTATGGGGCAGAGTTATTAATGGGAAAAACTTGAGGAGATTTAGTCGGCACAGTAATGTTTCAAAGTTAGTTATTAAAAATCTTGCCTCAAATGTGATGAGTATCAGTATTCAACCATTAGAACATTCTGATTTAAGTAAAAATTTCTGGGACATAATGAACCTTTTTTCTTGTAAGAGAGTTATAAGACTGGTTATAGTCTATTTTGGATTACTCAAAGCTGTAAGACCACAAGGTGATTGGTAACATGGTAATGCTACCTAAAGATGTAGCTGAAAAAATAGAGTACGGGTCACAGGGCTGACTTTCCTCTCTGCAGGGTGTGACAGGAATGCAACACTGATTTGACTCCGTGCTACAGTAATTCAATAACAACCTTCTCTGCCTAGTGCTGCTTCCAGAGAAAATGTGTCTTATACTCAGGTATGTAAAGTTTTTCAGACTTTCTACAGACAATGTAACTTTGGAAAACAGTTTATTTCTCTAAAGGTATTGCTGTACTATTTAGGGGAAAATATTTAAAGCAGAGCACCTATTGCAGTATGAAAGCAGCTATGAAAACATGGACCTCTACCTGTGCAGGCAGGGAAATGAGCCATACCATGAGAAGTTACCTTCACACTGCCATGACCCAGTCCATGCAGTTCTCTTTTCCCACCTCTCCCTGCCAGGCTCTGTGGGGCACAGGCTGCGTGGGGCTGGGGTTTCCTCCTCAGTGCACTGACCATGATGGATCTTGTCACAACCGATGGGTGCTTTTGTGAAAGCTTGATTACCCAAAAGCAATGTCAGTTCAGAAGGAAGCCTCAGGAATGTGTTTAAACAAGCACACCTACATCTTTTTGGCACTTGGAGCTGCTGTAAATAGCTTAGCCAAAAATATGGATAAGTTTATATTCTTTCAAATATCACCACTAAGTAACGAGAGAGCCAAGTATTTTGGCAGCGCATGTGTGCTTATTCTGCAAGTTCTTTATTAGAGAAATTACATCTTTAGATTGAAGTCTGAAAGTCAGACATTAAGGAAAGAAAATGCATGTGAGCAGCAGGTACAATCATTGTGTGGGTGATTTGGGTTTGCTGTTTAAGGAAGGCATCTTATATTTAACCAGATCTGGCACTAGGAGTCTACACTGACTAATTGAGGAAATTTTACAGACTCCTTTACATCTGTGACTTTGGTGAGAAGAAGTCTCATATATGTCAACAATGTGCTTGATGAAGGATGATTTGTGGAAGTTTTTTGGTTTTGATTTATAGAGATTCTTCTACAAGGGAAACCTTAGCCCAGGCTCTTCATAAATTGAGCAAGTCCTGGTACAGGAGCAACAGGGCAGTGTGTGCTCAGGGGAGCCAAGATGCCCAAGTAGCAGCCAGTCTTTTCTGTGCTTGATCATTAAGTCATCTGCTTTTGCAGGTTGCTTATACAGGATACAAGTAGGATTATTTGCATCTTAAATATGTTGAGGCAGAGAATGTTTCTTTGTGCATGCACACACAGAGCCTCTCCCGCCCCACACCAGTCTGTGAGCTGGTTTCAAACGGCATAAATGCACTTTCTCAGACCATTTCAGTGACAGGAGGAAGAGGCAAACATTCTCCAGGGCATCTGCCCCGATGTCATGATCAAAAATATTCCAGAGTATATTGAGTCTTTCTCTCTTGACATACAATAATATGGCATGGCAGGACTCACTGCCAAGTCCCTTATACCAAGTGCTGGTGTGGAGGAAAGGTAGATGAAGATCAGTATCCCCTGCTTTGATCTCTTAGAGCAGTTTCTGATTTCGATCTGTTGTGCTGGAGGGGTGACTGTGGTATGAGTGGAGATGCTGTTTGTGGTGGTAGAACTGCAGGAGAGGGCTGGATCTCAAAGGCTTTTGCAGCAGGCTGCAAAACTGAGCACTGCTCTGGTATCCCAGGAAGCCAGACTGCTTCCAGACTCATTGCAGTGATGGCACTGAAAAGCATTTTCTTACCTTCAAACTGTCTTTCACACTTGGTGATGTGCACAGGGTGTTTTTTGCACTTCAGATTTTTTCCAGTCAAGTGGGGGTTACTCTGTATCCTGAAAAACAAATGCCCTTTTGTACAGAGGCAGATGACATCTCTCTGCTCTCCATCATGTTTGATGAAGCTGAGGTCCAAAGATACTGCATCAAAATTAGGTTTTAAAAATTCATCAGTGAGCCAGCACAGGGAAATCAAGGAGGTGAGACATAATCACAGTCCAGCATTCCCTGGATTGAAATGTAATAGAAGTGTTGTTGTTACAGCCTTAGCTTGTAGTTTATGCTCTTTGTCAAGAACCAATTATGTGTCTGTTATCTTGATCTATTTATGGCCAACCATTGGCCAACACAGGACCTAGCACTGAGCTTTACTGCTGCTTCCCAGCATCCTTTTGCAACCAAGGGCTAAAGGAAAAAGCTGCAGACCGCATGCTCCCTGTACAGGATCCATACCTCAGCAGGATAGATAGGAGAGAATTACAAATCCTTTGGGTAATATGGCTCACACAGGCTGGCTTTATGGACTGAATGCTGCAGAGGCACAAATATGTGACTGACAATTCCTTCAGTCCTTCAAGGGCTTCCCAGAGCTCTCTGTCCAAGCTCTGATTTTTAATGGAGGGCCATCTCCTGCAGCACACATAGTTATTAGCAAATGCCTACCTAATGCTTTCTGAGAAACACCAAAAACAGATGAAACAAATTAAGAAAATATACCACCTGCTTTTCTATTTGTTCACTGCATTTCACAATGCATTGTGGAAAGTCAGTTTTACTGTTTCCCTGCCTGGTCTAACAGATTTTGGTTTTGTGGGATTTTTACATGCCTAGTGGAGGGAACCATAAGGATTGTAAAATCACAAAATAAATAGCTGCTATGCTGTAGTGTGGTGCCTGTCACTATCTGAAAACTGAAAATGGATAGATTTGTAGTAAACAGAAATGTTCCTTCAAAGCCCAAATTATATTCAGTCTGCAAGTGTAAATTTCTTGTCTTCTTCCAGTTGTTTCAGCTGAAATTCCCAAGCCAGTTGGGAAAACCCTGTTGCTTTTGAGAGCTCTCTAATTGCAAATAATTAATTAAAGAGCAGATGTATCTCATTTTATTTCTGAAATCACTTACCAAATTCTCATCTTTGCTTTCAAATTTCTTTACATCAAGAGAGTTTGTGCAATTTACATATTAAATTAAAGATGATTTGCTTCTTTGACCTTTGATACACAGTGTGAGCATAATTTGGCCACCCACTCTTTCATAGCCAATGTTGTTAGCAAAAGGCTTTTAACTACTGAGATATGGTTGAATTCCTGTGAGCCAATATTTACAAAGCTAAGTACAAAATATTATGTTGCTGCATAGGACCATTCCTAACAACAGAGACTCTACTGCTCTCAAACTCTTACTATATACAATGTGTATGTTCATCTCCTCAGCCTTGCTTCATCAGGGCAAGCATCATGAGAAGGCAAAAGTTTAGGCTGTGGGAAATGCCTGAGGTAATTATCGATCCTATTCCATGCAGTTCTACAGAGTGATTGTGTCCAGAAACAAGAGTGAGGTACCCAAGTGTAAACATAGGTTTACACTTAGAAATTACATAGGTTGAGACTATGTAATTTCACTATTAATTTTGAATGCAGGACTTGTGACTGTCCCTTCATAGTGAAAAGGAAGGGGAGGGGTTGCCCCACCTGGGACAGCCTTTCTATGCCTCCTCCATGCCAGGGGTGGCTACATTGGGTGGACAGAAGCATCACTTATTTTCCCTTTTCCCAGTAAGACCTGAGCTGCTTGGTTTTGGACAGCTTTGTATTGACAGAGGTAATACCTGTAGTTTCCTTCCAGCAGTAGGTAGTTAGAGCTCTTCCCATCCCCACTTTGGGGAAAATTACGGTTCAGCTACACAAGAGCAGCTCAAAGTCATGCACTTAATGGTACCCACTCTCTGGCAAATAAATCCTTTCTGCCCCCTCTCTCTCTAATTGAGCTGGCTGTCTGCATGGGAAGCTGGTACAGAAAATGTCTAAATGAAGATCTAGAAATCCCAACTGGGGGCTTACATAAGCCTTTTGCTTTTTCTAGGCCCAGGGCTTGGATAAATAATAAATGCATCTCTGATGATGTGTCTATGCAGACCAACCCCAGACAAATGCCCACTTGTTCTGATATAAAATATCCCAAGTGTTGTAGGCCAAAACTAAAACGTGTTGTTTTCTCACTCTTGCTCTCTTTTTCTTCTTTTTTCATCTTTCTGGCTTGGTTTTTGATTACATCAGTAATATGCACAGCTGCAGGCTGAACAGAGATGCTCTATAATCTGGCCAATATGACATTGATATTGTATGGCACAACTCAGAGGCAGTCAGATTTTCATGTCTCCCAAAATCTGCCACCTCCTCATGACTTTTCACCTACCTAAGGACAAAGCATGTGGCTTGGTGCTCTTGGAAGAGAACATTGCATTCCCATTTTGAATATTCCATAGAGACTTTATACTTTGTCTTCCAGGTCATATGCTGGTCATCACAGGTAACCTAAATTCTTGCAGATTAGCTACTAGTGGAATTTTCTGACAGATATTTCTGTGTCCTGTGATTTCTTTGCTTTTGTGATCAAAATAGTTGCCCTTTTTGTACCTGGTTCCCTATGGTACACCCCCAGTTGAAGGGTGTCAAAGTGAGGCAGCTTGCACAGGCAGCTAAGCACGCTGTGCTGCATCCTAACCCTGCTATTAAACTCAGAAATTATTTTGGCGGTTCAGTGTAAGGTGATTTGCAAACTGAGAACTTGTTCCACTTGATTCTTGCAGTGGGAATACAAAGCTTCAGTGGTTTCCTTGCATAAAAGAGTGTATTAATTACCTCTACCAAGTGTTTTTGCATTATCAAAGTACCTGAACTTCTCAATTAGTTTGTTTTGCATCATCTGGGTGACTACTGAGCTGTGTTTGGAAGGAGCTGAAGTTGCTCCAGGTGTGTGCTGGGCCAGACACAGCAGTTCCTGGGCTGATTACAGGTTTCCGCAATGCTGCAGCTACTTCCTCTGTCTCCTGCAACCAAGTTTGTTCATTCTTACTGAGCCTACAGAGAAGCTGGCTGCACAGCCTCTGACTACATGAGGAAATACCTGCCATGCACACTTTGGGAAACAGGCAAGGAAACAGTACTTGCAAAGGTTGGGTAGTAGGAGGGATGGAGGGCTGCGTGTGCTCAGCAGCCATGTGTGCAACATACAACCTTCAAGTACATGATCCTCTGGCAAAGGTTAAAAGTCTAAGAGAAACAGGAGAAAATAGACAGTGAGTGCTCAGCTCAAAGCTGCAGAACTGCCTATTTTTATTTTTATTTTTTTAGTAATGTGGTCCTCCCCCCATGGGTTCTTTGAAGCCCATTTTGTAAAACCAGCTGTTT